GCTTCCTTAAATACTGGGTATAGGCAAAATAATGCATTATAATGCTATGTAATGCCAGCATTACTCTAGAGTTGAGGTAGTAATGCATTACATTACCATTACATGTAATGCATATTTTTGGCATTTCACATTACTAGCATTTAACTTTGATTTCAAGTTAAGCATTGCAATGCATTACCATTACATTTAGCATTACCACAAGCCTGACCTGAAGTCTCTGTCGAGACTGTAGCTCTACCAGTTTGTACGTCTAAGAAGAGAAAAGTAGCAGTTGGAATTGAAACTTTGCAACATTAATAAATAAAATAATGATCCTTATTTAGTCTCTTTTTGTGGCAAGATTGCAATCAGACTAAAACTGTTGGAGGAGTAGCCTTTTAAAAGAATTTTACAGAAATTTCAATTTTAGTTACAATGGCAACATCAAAACATCAAAATCAAAAAAATAAAAACTCTAAAGACAATTATTTTTCTCAGTGCAGTCTACTTGCATGCCATGTTATATTAAAATCTGTAGGAGGAGTAGCATTTAAAAAGTATTTCACAGAAATTCATATTTTCAGTAACCATGGCAACACCGTTCATCGATATCAGAAACCGATGAACATAATTATGTATCTTAGTGTAGTCTACTTGTGTGCCAAGTGATATTGAAATCTGACCAAATCTGTAGGATAGCATTTTGAAAATATTTCACAGAAATTTATATTTTTAGTTATCATCGCAACACCATTCATCGAAATCAAAAATCCTAAAATATAATTAAGTATCTTTGTATAGTCTACTTGTATGCCAAGTTATATTGAAATCAGACCAAAACTGTAGGAGAATTAAGCGTTTTGAATATATTTCACAGAAATTTCTATTTTGAGTAACCATGGCGACACTGTTCGTCTACATCAGTAACCGATAAAAAGAATTATGTTTCTTAGTGTAGTCTACATGTGTGTCAAGTTTTATTGAAATCTGACCAAGACTGTAGGAGAAGTAGCATTTTGAAAGTATTTCACAGAAAATAATTTTTTTGTTACCATTGGAAACACCGTTCATCGAAATCAAAAATCAATAAACATAATTATGTATCTAAGTGTAGTCTACTTGTGTGCCAAGTTATATTGAATTATGACCAAAACTGTAGGTGGAGTAGCATTTTGAAAATATTTCACAAGATTTTCTATTTTTAGTAATCATCGCAACACCAATCACCGAAATCAAAAATCGATACACAGAACTATGTATCTTAGTGTAGTCTACTTGTGTACCAATTTATATTGAAATCAGACCAAAACTGTAGGAGAAGTAGCATTTTGAAAAAAAAAATTATAGACAGACAGACGGATGGACGGACAGCTCACTATCAGATAAGCTCTTCTGGTCTCTGACCAGTAGAGCTAAATAAGAAAAAGTGGAAAAAGCACAGAATTTACACAGGAAAAAAACGCCAATTTATAAAGATGAAAACGTAAATTTAAGCTAAAAAAAAATAGAAAAAAAATTCTGACATACTAGTAGTGGGGATTAAACCCAGATCGCCTGCGTGAAAATACAAGAGGCCCATGGACCTTGAATCGCTCTTCTGATAAACTGTACAACCTATCACTTCTATTTGAAGCCTCTAAGTATCCTGTATATGTAACAAAGACATTTTGTGCTTCTGCTGGGGATTGAACCCGGGGCGTCTGGCCTGCCAGTCCAGTGCTCTACCAATTGAGCTAAAGGGTTAACCCACTAGCCCAAGCTAGTAGGAAGCCATGTATCTGACACTACCACATTGTCCCCCTCCAGAGAATGAGATGTCCTCATCTCTTTTGGAGTGCCAATGCCTGTGGGGCGAAGTTCTGGGGGCAATCACTTTCACCTGCCAGAGAACACCCGGGTCCCATCGTGGGCGCCAAATGTAACAGAGACATTTTGTGCCTCTGCTGGGGATTGAATCCGGGGCCTCTGGCCTGCCAGTCCAGTGCTCTACCAATTGAGCTAAAGGGTTAACCCACTAGCCCAAGCTAGTAGGAAGCCATGTATCTGACACTACCACATATATTTAGATAAAGCCTTGAAATTTCAAAGGTAGGTCATTATGACCCACATTTTAGATGAAACACTCTGAGAACCCAAGATGATTCTAAGCCAATTAGTACCTGAGAGTTGGTCATGGTGACCCACTTATCACTTGTCATTCTCTGAGGACCCAAGATGCATCAACTAAGTTTGATGATTTTAAGCCAATTAATACCTAAAATATTTTTAAAATTATGACCATAAAATTTTAAAAGTAGGTCACAGTGACCTACTTTTCAGATGACATACTTTGAGGACCCAAGATGCATCTACTGACAAAGTTTGATAAGTACCTGATATATTTAAATAAATCAATAAAATTTCAAAAATAGGTCACAGTGACCTCCTTTTCAGTCGACTAACTTTGCGGAATCAAGATGCATCAACTGACAAAGTTTGATGATTCTAAGCCAATTAGTACCAAAAATATTTAATTATAGTCAGATAAATTGAAAAGTAAGTAAGGTGACCTACTTCTCAGTTGACTTACTCCGTGGACCCAAGATGCATCAACTGACAAATTTTGATGATTCTAAGCCAAATAGTACCCGAAAATATTAAATACAGCCATAAAAATTCAAAAGTAGGCCACGGTGACCTACTTTCAGTTGTCGTACTCCAAGGACCCAAGATGCATCAACTGACAAAGTTTGATGATTCTAAGCCAATAAGTACCTGAAATATTTAATTATAGTCATTTAAATTGAAAAGTAGGTCACGGTGACCTAATTTTCAGTTGACGTTTTTCGAGGACTCAAGATGCATCAACGTACAAAGTTTTATGATCATAGGCCTTAAAGCCTTAAAATGTCCAAATTATGCCTCTAAAACGCTTTGAAATCGAATGCCTGCAAAGTTCAAAAAGTAGGTCACTGTGACCTACTTTTTAATAAATATGTTTTATGGCCCCAAGATGCATCATCTTACAAGATTTAATGATTCTAAACCTCTCAGTATTCGAATTAATGACCTTAATTGTTTTGAAAAAGATTAGCCATAAAATTCAAAAAATAGGTTAAGGTGACCTACCTTTTAGCTGATGTACTCCGAGGACCCAAGATACATCAACTGACAAAGTTTGATGATCATAGGTCTTAAATTGTGCCAAATATGCCTCTAAATTATTTTTGAAAAAGAATGGCCGCAAAATTTAAAAAGTATGTCACCGTGACCTACTTTTGAGTAAACATGATATGAGGTCCTTAGATGCATCAACTGACAAGATTTGATGATCCTAGTTCTTATAGTAAGCAAAATATCAACATTTTAATAAAATGTAATTTTTGGTCAACTTTGAAGTGACCTTGAGACCACGCCCTTTGTCCAAGGGTAAATCCCCGTGCAAATTTTAATCTACAACATATCCTCATCCTTTTCTGTAAAATTGGTGATAATCCGTCCAGTGGTTCTTGAGAAGATTTTTTAGCAACCAGTACTTTTGTTTCTATTTTCCTAATTATCTCCCCTTGTTTAAGGGTCACAACCCTAGTTTTAGTATAAACGGGAGCCCTTGGGCCAAGGATACCCTGTGACAAATTTGACAATAATTGGCCAAGGGGTTCTTGAGTTATGGCCCATATTCTAAAAAGTTTACGCACACCGCACAAATGGCCATAGCATTAGCTCTTTGAGCCTTTGGCTCAGAAGAGCTGATTTCATTTATGTTCAGTAACTTGCATCTATAAAAAAATATTTCTATGAACTTCATTAAACAATCTTTCCAAAAAAAAAATGGTTTTCTTACTTTGTAGTTTTTCTCTTCTTTTCATAGGATACGAGCCCGGCATGCGAAAGAAACATTTGCCACGTAATACTTACTATAAATACTGATTGCTTTAGACAGACAAGCTTCTTGAAAAGCTCTTACTTATTACACAATATGTATTAGCGTTGTGTAATCCCTCCAACTTTTCATTCCTGACATACATCAAATATGTAAGAAACAACACTTTTTAGTTTGTAATGTTTAACAGATAAAGTGATTGGTAGATAAGGTTTCGGAATTTCGATTTTAGCCCTTGGTTGGAGGGGTGGGGGGGGGGCAATTGTGGGTCAATAAACGTCGTTTTTCTACAAAATTCTGACTTCTGGTTCCCTGAATTCCTCTTACATTTTTTTTTGCAGGAGCCCATTCATATTTCGGAATGTGATTGATGGTGTCCTGTAGATGTGCAATAAGGTTTCAAAATTTAGATTTTCAATCTTGGGGCGATTTGAGGTTAAAAAAAAACAACCTTTTTTCCTCTACAAATTCCTGCTTCCCTGAACTCCTCTTTAATTTTTGGCTGTAGCTCGTTCGTATGTTTAGAATATGATCTGGAGTGTCTTGTAATTGTGCAATGTTTTGGAATTAAGATTTTCACTCTGGCGGACGACTGGGGTCGAAAAACGCCGTATTTCTACAAAAACAGTGTTCCCTCAACTTCTCTTAATTTTCTTTTATTGCTGTAGCCATTGGATAGTGATTAGTGGCATCCTGTAGATGTGCAATAAGATTTCAGAATTTTGATTTCTCTGTTGGGACCGAATGGGGGTCAAAAAAGTGTTGTTTTTTTTTAAATAAAAAACCTGCTTTCCTGAACTCCTCTTACATTTTTCATAACCCAATCACATTTTGGAATAAGCCTGAGAGTACCCTGTAAATCTGTATTTAGGCTTAAGATTTTTTTCACCCTTGGGGTGATTGTGAGTTGAAAACTGACTTTTTGTAAATAAATAGGAACCGCAGATTGTTGTGGCTTCTTCCCTTGTTACCAAAATGCAAAGTGAGTATATTTAGAGGCAAACACCTATGTGCAGATTATTTCTGTCTTATGACACCGTCTACTTTTTTAGGCTTCCAACAAAATATAATAAAATATTATTGAAACAAAAATACTGATTACATAAATTTTGAAGCAGGTCCCAATAAAAAAAATAATGAATAAATAAAGTGAAAATACCTGTGGAATCCATTTTGGAGATACAAAGCTGGTAACTTCAATTACAGGTAACTGTGCTTCGGATAATTTATTGATAAATTCAACTTTCGTCTCTGTAGGTACAAATTTCTGTCAAATAAAGATTTTAACAATAAGATCATTTTAAAGTGCAAGTACCTGACAGCCAATCTTTTCTCAATAATGTAAATCAAACAGTCTTCAAATTATAAAATTGTAAAATTATAAAATAAAAAGTGAGACTTTTTGATCCCCTTTACCCATAGATGACATGTATAACAAAATTGGTTGGAATTGGTTCAGGTTATCCAGAAGTGATAATAAAAATGACAACTTTATGACCAAGACTTGACGGATGATGTACACCATAACACAGGTACTTGTGGACATGACCCCCCCCCCCCCCCCCGAATATCAGTATACCTCGGGTCAAAAAATATTTTTTCTGTATTTTTCATATTTTATTCTTCTAGTACACATTTACAATATATTCCATATGAAAAATCTAAAAAAAAATTAAAATACCCTAGAATTAACGTTTTATTCAAAAATCCATTTTATAATACGCGGGTATGATTTCTTAATAAAATGTTGATTCTACGTTATTTTTTGGAATTTTCATATGGAATACATTGTAAATGTGTACTAGAACAATAATTTATGAAAAAATACAAAAAAGAATTTTGACCCGAGGTGTATATTCGGGGCCGGGGGGGGGGGGGGGAGAGGGGGGGTCCTGTCCACAAGTACCTGTGCACCATAAGACAAAAAACAATGAAAGACGAATACAGACAGCACAGTAGATCATTCGAGTCTGACTGACATGACCACGAAAAAAAAAAAAGAACTGTCCTAACTAAATTGTCAAAATACTAAAATGTTTATTTAAAAACAAGCTGAATAGGTTAATATTATAAAATACAAGTTAGATTATTAGTCTTGTAATATAATTAGCATTTCTTGGATTATACTTGATTTCAATCTACATGATTTCATAAATCATTGAATTGCACAGTACAGACCTGTAATCAGCTAATTGACACATAACATTCTTAAGACATTTGCACTAATTACTTTAAATGCCCCAGGCTCGTAGCAACGGTTTCAAACGTTGGGAGGGGGGGGGGGGCAACTTCCCAAAATATTCTGACAAGCAAAAAAATAAACTTTTTAAAACCCTAATTACCTGTCCGAATCATGCAATTTACCTGTGCTAGACCTCTCAACAACAAAATGGGGGGGGGGGGGAGGGACGGGGAGTTGGGGGCAACCAGCATCTAAAGAAAAATTTACTGTAGCAAAATACTTTACTCAGAAAAAGTGGGGGGTTGGGGGGGGGGGGGTAGGGGCGACCCGCGTTCTACGGGCCTGTATACCCACTTACTGATTACAGGAACATGTATATAGATGTGTACCGAATGGGCATCTCTCACTTTTTTGATAAAAGCCAACTTATGGATCCAAAATGTGTTCAGAATGTTAACACTGACAATCAAAATTTAATTGTACTGGTCATGCAATATGCCATGTCGTAGGTTCACAATGTTGACATCAACAAACATTAAATAGAATTTGAAAAGTTCTGCATTGCTCGGCATACATGTAATGTCATCTCAATTAAAAAAAAACGTGAAATCTTAAAATGCAATTGTTCATTTGTATTTCTCCAGATCAAAGTGTTTTCTTAAACGATTTTAATTTTATTTTACGGAATTCTTTAAAAAAAAAAAGGTTTACATACTGAAAATTTGATGGTCACTAGAAATGAATCCATGGTACTGCAAGCGCAATATGCATATGGTCAGTATAGTACTTATATATAGTACAATATAGTAAGAAGAACATCCAGGAAGGGAACTGATAAAAAAAAATCATGAATACGGGTATGTCTAGACTATGAGATTGATCCTTTAAAGTAGGGTGAAATCCATATAGTACTGCATATGAGTCTAAAGGTTTTTGGAAGATTAAGTTCGCAGGGACATAACAATTTTAAAATTCGTAATGTTGGAAGCCCTTAATTGTGGAACATGTGATAAAATAATTTCTAGGTCTTCAAGAAGGTTGATAACTTTTTGTATATTTTGGTTTTGAAATAGCTACTCTACACATAGCCAAAAGCTGCATGTTCTCTTCTGACATCCGTTTCAACTGCTTCAAATGCAATAGTAATATAGTTTTACTAGTCCATGAGCTATGTTTTCTAATCAATTGATGTCACCTCCGCAATGCTGTCTGGTCATCCTTTCTGAATCTTCTGCATGAATTATGAACTTTGGAGATTGTGTTTATATTGTGTTCGTAAAACAACTTCGTAGTATGTAAAGATGTGTTGCATTAACAAGCCTTTTTCAAGTTCGCTGTGGAGCTGTATTTCGCAAACATGGACGGCATTCCAGATTTTACATTAGCAACATAAATGGTAATCCAGTGTTTTGTATTTATTAATGCTCGAACAGACGAGGTAGTAAAATAAAGGAGAAGGGTGTTAGTTTGTTTAAATTCCCTACAGTCAGAAGACATCAACAGCGAGGATAAGGCTCTAAAATACGGACGATTAAACACCTAGAAAGGATAGCAGTGCTCTGAGCATTTTGGCAATCTATGGCATAGCAACGACCCCACCGACGTAAACTATCGCCCTGTATTATTTGCCTACAAAATTAAGCAGCAGTCAGAATCAATTCCGGGCATAATGAATCACACAGCAAAACAAATTTTAAATATATTGACATGCTGCATACAGGGAAAATTCACCCTCATTTTATTTTGTTGCAAGTGGGATAATTGAAAATGGAATGAATTAAAAAAAAAAAAAAAAGGCTTAGTGAACTCCTTAGAACAAATCGAAAACAGGGCAAAATTGTTTGCAAGTGAGAAAGGCGAATATAACATTAAAAACAAGATGTGTTTGTGAAACACTGATGCCCCCGTATGGCAACTTATAGCGAAGGTTAAACTTTCTCAAATGCATATCAAATATGATGGTACCGTACCTAAAGTGTACTTGTACCGAGGAATATACCTGTGTAATATGAAAGCCCTAGCAGCAACCATTGAAAAGATATGGAAAAGGTTAAAGTTTTTCAAAAGAAGGTCAAACTCCAAGGTCAAGGTAAAAGGGTCAAAGTTGTTGGTATCCAAAGGATGGCCTTGTCACAAGGATTACACATGTGAAGTTTGAAAGCCCTAGCACCAACCGTTCAAAATTTATGGCCAAGGTTAATGTTTTTCAAAAGTAGGTCAAACTCCTAGATCAAGGTCAAAGGGTCAAAGAGGTTGATATCCAGAAGAAGGTTTTGTCACAAGAAATACACATGTGAAGTTTAAAACCCCAAGCACCAACTGTTCAAAATTTATGGCCAAGGTTAAATTTTTTCAAAAGTAGGTCAAACTCCAAAGTCAAGATCAAAAGGTCAAAGTTGTTTGTATCCAAAGGAAAGCCTTGTCACAAAGAATACACATATGAAGTTTGAAATCCCAAGCGTCAACTGTCCAGAAGTTATGGCCAAGGTTAAAGTCTCATAAAATTTTGCAAAAGTGGGTCAAACTCCAGGGTCAAGGTCAAATATGATGGTACCCAAAGAAAGGTCTTGTCACAAGAAATACACATGTTAAATATGAAAGTCATAGCTCCAATCAATCAAAAGTTATAGGCAAGGTTAAAGTTGACAACAGACAGACAGACAAACAGATAAACAGACAAACAGACAGACAGGACAAAAACAATATACCCCCGGGATCTTTCGATCCAGGGGCATAAAAACCATCATTAAAAATCATTAAAAAGTTTAAATATATAAGTCGTCAAAAATTACCCCCCAGGGAGGGGGTAATATTTTGAAAAAGACTTGAATTTGCACTAATTGAAGATGCTTCTATGTATCTCTGACTAATCATGGGTCTAGAAGATTGTTAAAGATTTCTTTCCTATATATATTTCTATGTAAAAGTTTAATCCCCTATTTTGATCCCATCCTACCCCAAGGAATCTTGATTTGAACTAACTTGAATCAACACTAGCCGAGGATGCTTCCATATAAATATGGCTTATGGGTTTGCTGATCGTGAGAAGATTTTTCAAGATTTTCCCAATATTTTCCTATATAGAACTTTGATCTCCCATTGTTGCCCCACCCTAGCCTCGAGGATCATGATTTGATAAAATTTGTAACTATACTATGTAATGAAGCTTTCACAAAAGTTTCATTTTTTCTGACACAGTGGCTCTTGAGAAGATTTTCAGAAGATGCCAGAGAATTTTCACTAATTTTCTATTATCTTCCCTTGAAAGAGGATTTGACTCTTCATATGAATAAACTTGAATCCTCTTTACCAAAGAATGTTTTTTTTTATGGAAAGTTTGGTTGAAATTTGCCCTGTGGTTCTTGAGAAGAAGTTGAAAATGTGAGGAGTTTACAGATGCCAGATATCCTTTGATCAGAAAAGCATACTTGAGCCTTTGTCTCAGATGAGCTAAAAATCTAGTTGTGAGTGCTTCTTAAACATTCTTAAATTTTAACTACATGTAACTTATGAGAACAAGCACATGTCAATGATAAGTTGACCATTTAGATATTTAAAATGCACCACTCATTACCTCCCATCTTTTACTGAAATATTAAATGTTATATACACTCTCCACTTTACAATAAAACATCTGTGAAAACTGGCACGATCAACATTCTTAGCGTTTAGCCTACAATGACTTCAAATTTTCAAGTAGTATTTTTTCCTTTAAAAACTGCAGGAAACAATAGGCTTACGTTCCAATTTAATGATAAATGTTGACTGGTTAACGATGCTATAGTATTTATTGTAATATAGGATCACTAAATAATGTACTATCGGTCCGTATTAGCATTAGGGTAATGGGAAAACTTAAGAGGGTGGGTGTGTTAGGCAACTCCTATACATGTCATAAACACCTGAAACCAACACCAAAATTTGCATGTAAACTTCTTATAAGCATACAAAATGACTACCAGATTATGAACTTGGTGGTTATGACATCTAAATAAAAACTTTTCGTTTCATTTTTACGATATTTGCAGGAAAAGCTTATTACCCACAATAGAGACTATCAGCTTGCGTAGATTATTTCATATCAT